GAGGTAAGCCCTCTTGTTGGGCACAGACACCCTCTTGTCGGTCATGCACATATTTGAGCACACACATTGTCTCTGTAATTCAGACACGATCATTCATTCATGTACACAGTTTCCATGTCCATCACACCTGGGGCTGGGGCAGCACCACCGGACTGAGCGTTGGACTCCACAGGCTTGGTCCCCCAGACTACTTCAGATGCCAGCTGCAAGGGGGCTTCCCAGGAGAGCTGCACTTCTGATCCGCCAGCTACAACGTGGGGGTGTCCCAGGACCCCCTCAGGTTGGATAATTCCCTGGAACAACTCACAGAACTCACTGAAAGCACTATAGTTCAGATTACAGTTTTATTATGAAAGCTGTGGCTCAGCGGCTGGCACATGAAGATGTGTCTAAGGCAAGATCTAAAAGGCAGGCAAAGCGTCCCTTCCCAGGAAGCTCCTCTGAGCCTCACTGTCCAGAGTTCTCACTGGAGTTTCATTAGGTAGGAATGATTGAACACTGCCCATGTCATTGAACTCAATCTCTAACCTCCTCTCCCATCTGCTGAAAGTCCCAACCTCTGTTCCCGGCTTGGTGGTTCAGGCTACCAGCCTCCCAAAGCTGTCTAGGGGGCCCACCCTGGGTTGCCTCATCGGCATAACAAAGACACTCCTGCCACTCAGGAAATTCCAAGAGGTGTTTGTCTATATATATATATATATATATATATATATATATATATATATATGTTTTAGAGAAAGAGAAAGGGGGACGGACAAAGGGAGAGAGTCTCAAGCAGATTTGGACACTTAACCCCCTGCGTCCCACAACTGCACTCCATGGGTTTTTAAAGTGGGTAGCAGGAACTGGGAGAAAGACCCCGTACGTTCTCGATGATACCACAACACATGTACACCCTCACAAGACTTCCGTCTTCTTCATCCTGGCCACCGCGGCACCCGCTCGTCAACCCCACTCTGGCTCCCCCAAGACTCCCTAAGGTGGGGGCCGAGCAGCCAAAGGAGCCTTCCAAGGGCCACGCCACCAACCTTCCTTAAGAGGCAAACCCCTGGGCCTCAAGGTGGGCCTCCTGGGCCCTGGCGTCCCTCCCCCTCCAGGACGGCTGCTTCCTGAAGGAGAAACGTTCCCTTCCTGTAGTTCAAGGCCACTGGTCTGCAGCCAGTGTTTAGGAAGCAGGCTGGCCTTGCCACTCATTGTTTGATTTTGTTGAACACAAAACCCATCAAAACAAAAACCAAACCCAAGCCCCCTCTTGGCAAGGCTGCCCGGTCCCCCGAGGACATGGCAGCTGTCGCCACAGCTGCACAGTGCACAGCCGGGGCTGCCGCTCGCACGGCTGACCTGCAGGCGGGCTCTGTGTCCTTGCCGACCCCAGCAACGTCACGCCTGCTCCCAGGGCTCATCCGGCTGCAGTGCTGTAGCTCTTCGAGAGAATTTATGATGGGCCTTGGTGCTCTGGGGTCCCGGCTCCTGAGTCCAGCTCAGAGAGTCACTGTCTGGCGTGGACACACTTCTGAGTCCCTGCTGGGAGTCCCAGCTGCCCCTCCCCCCAGGCGAGGCCTTCTCAGCCTAGGAAGAGGGGTTCAGACCTCAGCAGCTGAGAAAAATACTGGATGTCTACTGTGTCCCCTGCACCGTTCACACAGTGCTGCTGGTTCCTGGTCCTCCCCGCATCCCTCCAGTTAAGATTCCGGACAGGGGCTCCTGGGTGGCTCAGTGGGTTAAGTCTGACTTCAGCTCAGGTTACAATCTCAGGGTCCTGGGATGGAGCCTTGTGTCAGGCTCCCTGCTTAGCAGGGAGTCCGCTTCTCTCCCCCCCACCCCCCCGGCTTGTGCTCACTCTCTCTCTAATAAATAAATAAAGTCTTGAAAAAAAAGATTCTGAACAAATTCTTCCGATTTTTATGCAAGTCTTTAACCAAAGCCTGAGACTAGAATGCTTCCATGGTGCTTCAAAGACCCAGTACTTGGATAATTCAAAGACGGCTTCTTGGTTTGGTCATTACCGTGCCTGCTGGACCTAGGGCTCCTCTCATCCTCCTCTCTGAAAGGAACGCCCACCGTGATGAGGTCACCCTTATAAGAAGTCCTAACTGTGTGCTAGGCCTTGGGCTCGGTGTTTCACACACATGAGCTCATTCAATCTTCACAGCCATCCTGTGGGGCAGGATACCATTATTGTTTCTGTCCAAGATGAGGAAATTGAGATTCAGAGGGACTGAGGGACTTGCTCAAAGTCACGGAGCTGGCAGGCAGAATTCAAACCCAGATTTGCCACATATCGGAATCTGTGTGCTTAGCCACTTTATGATGCTGGCACACCAAACTTTACAGACACTTCCTTCTGTTCTCCCATCCTACGACCCCTGGTGCAATTCCTGAGCAATGCAGGGGACAGGGAGAGCCTATCAACCTGACCTTCGGAAATCCGCTGCAATACAGCATTACCATCTGCCTTTGCCTCCCTCCCATTGGCTAGTCTAGCCTGGTCAGGAGCTCATGCTTGCTTATGGGTTTGGTTATTCCTCACTTTGTTGCAGAAGGAGTATAAACAATGTAAGTGCGTTTCAACTTCCCTGTCTTGATCTGAAACTGCCGCTTGGAAGCCACAGAGGGGCAGGAAGCATAGTGGTTAAGACCCCAGGGAGCCACAGCAGTATCCTTAGGGTCTGATTCTCAGCCTTGAGTGAGATGCTTAACTTCTCCACGCCTCCATTTCCCCAACTGTAAAATGGGGATAAGAACAGATCTTCTATACAGGGTCTCTGGGAGGAGCAAAGAGCACACAAAGCTAATTGAGTTAGGGCAAGAAAGGAGGGTCACACCCAGGGTGCTGTTTCCCAGGGCTGCAGGACTGGGCCCGCTTCGGGGCCAGTCCCTCTGGGCCATTTCCATCTGCCAGCCTCTCCTACTTTTGCAAGTTTCCTCTACCTCCACCTTGGGCTCGCAGCTCCCGCCTGGGTCCTCCTGCCCACCAGCCTCCTGACTTGGCAAGCCAATTGTCAGAGGATGAGTTCCATGTGCAGTCTGCCCTCCGCAGTGAATCACTGTCTCCTCCTGGGTCTTGCCCAGCTCCAGGGTGGGTTGAATAAGGGAGGGGACTGAATGTTTATGGTTTTTACCAGCCCCTGATCTTCCTTACAGCAAGGGAGAAACTATAGGTGTTAGAAATCTCAATTCACAAGGACAACATTGAGCCTTGGAGAGGTTTGCCCAAGTGTCAGGCTGCTGGACCCTACGGGGCTCAGATTTCAGGTGCGGGTCTTATGGGGGAATTATAGAAAGTGGGTGGCAAAGCCCGCAGGACAGTCTGTAAGATCTGGAAAAGACGTGCTCACCAGGACTTCAGGAGCTGACCTGACACCTAGTGGCCACTCGTGGGAATTACTCCCACTTTGGGAAGGCTCCCTGGCGGTTACAAGGCAGGTTTTTTTGGCTTGGCAATCCTTCACCCACTTGGGGGTGGCAGTGTCAAGGGAAGGCCTGGAAGGTCGGGCGTGGTGGTAGGGGTGGGTTTTAGCTTCCCTATATCTCCATAATTCTCCCAAAGCTACCCAAACAAAAAATAACATTTGATCAGAGGATTGCTGCCTTTTCATTTTTATGCAAGAGGTGGATTAAAAGCATCTTGAGAAAACTTTGCTGTTTTACTGATCCGTGGCCCACAGCCCTCAAATTCTGATACTCTGTGGCTTCATAATCCTCAGGGTTCCACCAGACACCAGCAATTTTTGGATGCTCAGTATGGGCAGGAGACTTGATGGAGAAATTTATAGATTATAATAAACTTAAAAGACATAGCTTGACTTCAAAGGGATTCGATTTATTTGTGGAGTCAGAGCACAAGACATCGACATACCCTGAGGAGTATGGTAGATGTGAGCTTCAGCCCTCAAATCCCTTATTGCATTTATTTTCTTTCATTATCCTCATTTTGACTCTGAGCGCCCATGCCACCCAAGCAATGGAAATTCAACCGCAGGCTAACACGTCGATTAAGGAAGGGAAAGGGGAAAATGCACTGTGGGGAGGAGGCATAAATTATTTCGAATAACGATACTGCCCCATGGGCAGAGAGGCCTTGGCATCAGCTCGACCCCCGGTGACGCAAAGTGGAACCCAGGGTGGTAACTGGGTGCCTAGACTCCGGTCTGGCACTCCACTGGTGCTCAAAGCGTCGGTTCTTGGTTAACCCCCAATTTTCCCAGTTTCCCATCACCGGCCCAAAACAATCGCCACGTGAGTGCATTTGTTCGTTTCGTGGGTTTTGCTGAGCATCTACCAAGTGCCAGGCACTGTGTGGTGCTACAGAAATGCATGCTTTGGTCCCTGCCTTTGTTCATCCACTAAGATAACTGGCGAGGTTGATCAGAACCCTTTAAGGTACCCATCCCCCTACCTGTGTAGCTCAGGCTGGTCTTGACTATCCCTGCTTTTATGCTAAGCAGCTCTTTTCTCCCAAGCTTCCAAGGAATTTTAGAAAAGAAATGCAGAGTAATGGATTCCCCAGAACAGATTAGGAAGCCTTTAGTTCAGCTGTCCTACTTTTCAGATGGAAGCATAAGGCTCCAAGGTCAGGTGGCTAGGTAGCGCCAGGCCACGACCACATGCCAGGTCTCCGTCTCCCATCCTGGGCTCTCTCCACGTGGCCCCTCAGCATTTTGCTTCCAGAGGTCCCCGATCTTGTTTCATGAGTATCTGTTCCCTCAACCGCTGCCTCCAGCATCTCAGAAATCCCTCTCCTGGACATAGTTTACGTTTACTATGATGACCACTGTTTTGCACTGGTCTCCCCTGCTCCCACTCCCCGCTTTTCTCTCGCTGCCTAGCAACAACCCCATCGCATTCCCAATTTGTTTTCATAGGTCCCACCAAGGCTGCTGAGGATGCGCCCCCTGCTGGTCACTCAGACGAGGCGGTGCTGCCCCCCCCCGCCCCGCCCCCCCGGGGAAGGGCACCCCACCAGCAGCCCAACCCCACCAGCAGCCCAGAGACGTGGAGACCCAGGCAGACTTTATTGGCTCGCTCACAGCCTGGCCTTGATGTGTGTCTACGGGGATTTCAGACAGATCTCCGCCTCCTCCCTGCCACCGTCTGACTTGCCAGGACTTCTGGGTCGCCAGGACTTCTTTCCAGACCAGACTTGTTGCTATGGCTTCACTGTGTTCAGGAGACTGGTTTGAAAGGTGAGGGGATACACAGTGTCAGTGGAGGCTCATGGTAGGCTGGCGGGAATGTCTAGGCAGACTCCGATCCACGAGAGACCATTTGTCCGCCCACCCCTCCTGGTGGCAGAGGGTTGAACTCAGGTAAGTCTCCGTGCCGGCCCGGGGAGGGGGCAGTGAGCTGGTTCACGTTGTTGGCAGGGGTTTGGCAGTAGGTTGACATTCAGAACATGCACCCCCTTCGGCACAGGGATTGCGCGGGATCCGCTGCGCTGAGCCCTTGTGAGAGAGACTGGGGCAAACGCCAGAGACGAAAGGATGCTGGTTACAGTCTTATTTGTGGTGGCAAAACAATGGAAGTTCCTTAAAGGTCCATAAAATTGAGCTTCAAGGATGAGATGTCTGTGCTATGAACTAGCACATGGCATTTAAAAAGACGGAGAGGGGTCTAAATGTACAAACCTGGAAAGATTGCCAAGATAGACTGGGAGGCAAAGCAAGTTCAGAGGAACGTGATAACGTGGTTCTATTTACGAGAAATAATAAACAGTGTGTGTGTGAGGGTACAGTCTTATATAAGAAAACATATGTGTCCCCTGAGCCTGCCACATGCCAGGTAACGTTCTTAACGTTTTACAGGCGTTCATCCATTCACTCCTCAAAAACTCCGAAGCCGTGAGTACTGTCATGAGCTTCATAGTACAGATGGGGAAACTGAAGCCTGAGGAGACTGGGTTAACTTGCCCAGGAGTGGAGCTGGCCTGGGGACTCAGGTGGTCTGGCCCCGGAGCCCATTTTAAACCACTATATCACCCGCACACACGCTGATCGGGGCACAGGACGGAGGTACCCGGGGAGGGCTTATGGGGCAGGGCCAGAGGGGATCCCTTGGCTAGAGCTCCCGAAGGACACTGTAAGACATGCAGCTGTGGGGCCAGACGGGAGCCCAGTTGGCAGGCCTCAGCGAGGAGGTCCAGCACACAGGCCTGGCTTCAAAGGCCACAGCTGCCGCGTTCTGTGTGCGTACTGAGCTCCCGTGCTGCCCTTCTCCAAAGCTCAGTATCCGTCACCGCGTGCAGGCGACGACAGCCGCTGTTGGGCGCTGTGAGAGGTAGGACACCTGAGCAGGTCCGGTGGCCCGCAGAGTACAGGGCCCATGGAAAGGGCTCGTGGACAGTGTCATTATCCTTATGACTGTTATCCCAGCCCCTTCCTATTTCTTTAAGGGATGGAGACTATGTCACAAACCACTGAACCACAACAGTTCCTGCCGGAGTGATCCTCCTCTTTGGGCTCCCAGGGGACCTGCAGACCCCTCCCAACACACCGGGGTCTAGCCATGCACTCCGGTGTGTCACCTCACTGTGTCCCCAGAGTCTGGCCCTGCAGCCAGCAGTCCGTGGTTGAGGGGAAGCTGAGGCAGAGGGCAGACCGTGGGGCGGGCTTGGGAGCCCTGGAGAGCGTGGCCAGCTGCTTCCAGGGAGGTGAGGTCGCCTCATGGAGTGCAGGTTGCACCCCGCTCAGCCCGGGCGCCTGCGGGGGGTGGGGCAACAGGGCTTCCCGGGCAGAAGCGGGATCAGATGGCCCCCGGGCCCACACTGACCTGAAGTTCACCATGCCTGTCTTGTCGTCCAGCTTCTTTATCAGCTCCCTGACTTGGTGCAGGTTTACGGGGACCTTGTCCTGCTGAAGGGGTGGATGGACCATGCAAGGTCAACAGCCCCCGACACAGACAGAAAGATAGACATACACACAGACACACACACCCAGACAGACAGACATGCAGACACACAGACACATGGACAGACATAGAGATATGCACAGACACAGAATCACACACACACAGACACACACACAGACCCACACAGACGGATATTCACACATACAGATACACAGACATATAGACAGCACAGGCACACACAGACACACACAGAGACAGACACAGAGATACACAGACACACACATGCAGACACACAGATATACACAGACACACGCACAAATATACACAGACACAGATACACACAGACACATAAACACACAGACACACATGTAGACACAGACACACACAGACACACGGACGGACAGACACACAGACACCGCCCCCCACCGCCCCCCTGGGCTATAGCCATAGGGGTCAGCACACCTGTATCATGGCCTTCCGGAAGTCACCCACAGGCATCGTCATCATTCCTTTAGGGTTCAAGCTCTTGAAGAAGTCTAGGACTGTGATTTTGTGCTGGTCAGCGTAGCTCTGAGAGAAGCAGGAGACACCAGGAGCTCACAATTGATTTTAGAACACCTACTCACCACCCACTGCCCCACCCACCGCCCCCTGCCAAAGGGCAGCCTGGCAAGCGGAGGGGAGGTGTACAAAGGAGACGGGAGAGCCCAAGTCTCCTGTGTGTAGCGGTTGCCTAAGCCCAGGAGCCCCGCACAGGATGAGGCGTGGCGAGCTGCCCGCCATGACGGCTCTGGGGGTTTGCTCGCTTTCCAGGAGCCCCCACTCCACGGCGCAGGATCTCCAGACAACTCCAAGGAGGGAAGGATTAGAGTCTCTGCTGTTTGTTCTGTCTGTCTGTCTATCATTCATTTATCATCTCTTACCTGTCTCTCCATCCATCCAACATCTTCCTATCATCCATACTCTTTTACAGAACGCATTGTACTAATACACCGTGAACACCTCTTCTGTATCATTCAAACATTCTTTTGGGGGCCTTCTGAAGTTTACGTTTCTCTTCCCCTCCCACTCTCGATGGGCCTTTGAGGCCCAGCTGGACTGACAGACATTCCCGCAGATAGTGTGCTGGCTGGGGAACTCCTCAGGGACCAGTCCTCAGTCCCCTGCTTTTACCTCCCCACACTAACCCCTCTGGGGTGCACTGCCTTTCCCCCTGGAGGGACCCTACTTCTGCATCGGGAGCAGCTCAGCTGCTCACAAGTCCATGCTGACACCCACTGGCACCACAGGCCAACATGTCCCAGGTGACTCTCAGGCAGCTCGACCCTCCCAGTGGTTGCCAGCCCTGTGGGGGACCCCACAGGTGAGCCGCCATGAATCCCGTCCCCTCCACACACGCAGCTCCATGAGGCAGACACTGCAGAGCTAAACACGGACATTCCCTAACCTCCCTTTCACCTAGGCGACTGAATGGGATGCGTTTCACCAAGCAGCCAGGGGAGGCTTGTGTGAGAGGTCCGATTCGGAGGGAGCAGGCCGGAGGCAGCTGTGGGGCGGTCCTGATTCGGCAGCTGATCCCCCACTGGGCAGCCTCCCGTTCACAGCAGAAGCTGCCTCCACACTGGCAGCCCACGTGGGGGATTTGGGGAGCCATTTCTGGAACCTAAACTAGGAGTCTGTTTCTTCAGCCCCCCTCCACCTTTCTGGGGTCAGTCTCTGGTAATATATCCCTTTTTGCTTAACCCAGCTAGAGTGGATTGTGTGGTCAACAACAAGAACTTGGACCAGCTCAAGAAGGGCCCGTGGCTCTGGTAGGTGCTATGGATACAACCCATCATCGCTCCTGCCCTGGACGGGTTCAGAGAGGGGCTAGCACTCCTGATTAGGGAATCTGGAAGGGTCTCCCGAGGACATGAACTTGAGTAGAGACCTAGAGGAAGAGTAGGAACGAGTGAGACATAGAAGGCAGGAGGAAGGGTGTTCCAGGCGGAGGAACGTGCGTGTGCACCGGCCTGGGGTTGAGCGAGAACTGGTGTAGATAAACAGGGAGAAATCCCGTGGGGCTCAACTGTGCAGAGCCAGTGGGGAGGGGCAGGCAGAGAGGGTGCGGCCAGAGAAGACTTTGCTTCCCCTGCCAATTTTTGTAGTCACCTGGGTTAGAACTTTTGGGGTTATCTTTGGTCTCTCCTATCACGACAAGCCTTCCTTCTCCGAACACACACATACTCACACACACTCACACGTGTGCACCACGTACCCAAATATTCACCAAATCCTGGAGATGCCCCATAATGGTATCTGCCACATCAGTCCCTCCACTTCCACTGCCACTCTCAGGCAAGGCACCATTCTAGAAGCTGTTATCATACCTAGCATACGATCACAGTGTCCTGCTGGCATTCCCACTCTCATCTTTACCCTCTTCGGTTCATTTCCTCTCCATTGCCTGAAAACTTATCCCTGAGTCCTGCTGAATTCACATCGCCCACTACTCAGCAACTATCACTGGCTCCCTACGCCCTGTGGGATCAAACCCCAACACTGAGCCCCAGCCAGCCCCAGCCTCCCTGTGCAGCCTTGACTGCCAGGCTTTGCAGGAGCCTGGAACCACGAGGTTCTTCTGCTGGAGCCGCGTGGTCCTGCCCATCCCCCAAGCACATGGTGTGTACCACCCCCAGCTCCTTTGCTGGTGGGAATCCTATTCCCAGAACTTCCTCCCTGTCGCTGTCACTCACCTGAATCCTTTCTGCTCTTCAAGGCCCTTCCCTAAGACGTGTCCTTTTCTGTTTGCCTAACCCCACAGTGGCCTCTGCTCTGGACTTGAATGATATTTGCTGCCTTTGGCACTCATTTATTATTTATCATATATCTATGAAAAGTTACTGCATCTGTCCCATCCTCCCAACCAGACTGTTGCCCCCCCACCCCACCCCGAGGGGAAGGACTCTGTTTTCCATCGCACATCAGGTTTGGTCTCTAATCTGGAATTCTTATGAGATTCCTAAAGATTTCTATGCTGTTTTAAACACGGGGTGGGGCCCCCACTTTGCATCTCAGAACTCCGTTCCTGTGGTTTTTCCCTTGGTTCCATCTGATGTCATCTGACTCATGAAGATACTTGATACCCCCTTGCCTTCTAGAACTTTCCACACAACAATATTTTGCACACAGAGCTTTTCAATTTAGTCCTAGAGGCTAAGGCACAGAGCAGACCAACCAAGGAGCAGGAAGCTTCCCCAGCAGCACGCAGCCCACAGGACCCACATCGGCGGGGCATCACCCCAGATAGCAGCCAGTGTGCACCCAGCGGGGGCCTGTCCAGCGAGAGCCCGGAGTGGGAACACCAGCCTGCGCCAGATGCTCCTCTGTGAGGTGATCAGACCCGACGAGCGTCCTTGCAGCTCTAAAACTGATTTCTCATTTCCATGGGTTCCATCTGCCTCCTGTGATCTGAGACTTGAGCTAGGAGCAGGTGGCCACGAGATAGAAAGGATCTGAGAGTCTCTCCTTAGCCAGAGCCATCCAATAGCTGTCCTCACCACGGCGGGGGTGGGGGACCCGGGGAGCGTCTTGGCCATCCTCACCAGTCATTGGCAAGAGCTTGCTTTTGCTGGGTGCTTATTATTGGCCAGGCATGGCTCTAAGCCCTTCATGTGTGTTTAACAGAATTGGCTCTCCATAGCCCTCCTGGGGTGAGTTGTGTTGTTCTGCCCGTTTTCCACATGAAGACATTGGGGCTCAGAGAGCACAGTGACTTGCCTTGGTTGGAGGAGCCTGGCTGGTAGAAACCATCCTGTTCCAAGACCGGCCCTCCCCTGCCCCGCAGCCAGGTCCCAGATGGCCCCTTCCTCGGGGAGCCAGGAAGCACTGCTGGGGGAACCAACATCCACAAGGAACATTCCACGTCTGAGATTTTCCTTGTCAGAGAGGACTGTGCAGACGCTTTGGGGGAGGGGAGCCTCTGGGTCCTTGGAGTCTCGGGGAGGAAGGCAAGGGCTCACCTGGATCAGTTTCATGGGGTTCGTCCACTGGAGGAGCGCTTTCTTGGCAGAGAAGCCTTGCACGGACTTGTACATCACATCCAGCTGGGGGTGGATGGCACACACCCCGTCCAATATTTTTAGGAACTGCTCAGACACCAGCACGTTCTGAGGCGGGAAGAGAGGGGACCCAACATGAGGAAGCCATCCACTGTACCATCTCCACGCCCCGGGCCCCCCCGCCCCACCTCTCCACCCCCTCAGACCAGCAGGTGCATCCAAGCCAAAAGCGGAGGTTTTGGTTTGGGGATTTTTTTGGGGGGGGGGGTCTTTTCCAGCTTGTTCTGCAGTGCTGCTCCTAGCCTGGAGTCCTTCGTTGTTCTCAGAGCTTGCGATTTGACTTGTAAGGTTCGCATGTGATTTTGATCGGCTCTTCCGGCTGAGGGCTGGCAGCCTGCCCCACACTGTCTGCTCGGCTCTCGGAGGGCGAGCCTCAGTGTCTGCGTGTGGCAGATGACACCCAGCTATGGGGTAGGAGACAGCGCCCGAGACAAAAGCCCTGAAATGTCCGTTTCTACACCATATTGGACTTTGGAGCAGATGCCCCGGAAGAGGATTCCTCATCCCAACCACCCCGTCCTGGCTCAAAACCCACTGGGAACTCCCCTTTTGGAAGTGCCCTCAGAGCGGGGTGATAGGCCACGGGAGAAGACGTGTTCCGTGAAGCAGTGTTTGTCCCAGGCGAGCCTCCCCTGGTTGGGTGAGCCCGTCTCATTCCTCAGATGTGGTTCTGAGGAATTATTTGCCACTTCAGATAATTAAACCCATGCTTAAGGGCTGAAGGCTTACCTCATCCCAGTTTGTAGATATTCTAGAGAAAGTTCATCTACAATGAAGGGGTTCCAACACTGTTTAGAGTTACATCAGGAGAGATGATAAAAGGGAGGGAAAAGTCTAATTCAGACCTGTCAGTGCTGAAAGGCTTGTAAGGGGGCAGGGTGATCCCAGCTCATGGCGTCGTGTGCCGTCTGGGGTTAGCCAAATAGCACCGCTTCTAAACGTTCCCTCAGATGGCAAGACAGTGCCTGAGGGCATGCCTTCCAGCCTGCACTGGGGCAGGCTTGGGGGGAGAGCAAATGCCCCAGAGGCAGGGTGGAGTGGGGGCTAAGGCAGCATGGGCGGTGCAAGGCCAGAGCTGTTGGGTGACAGTGGGCAGAGGCTCCCAAGGAGACAGAGAGCAAAGGTGGACCCCAGGGCAGGGAGCATGGGGAAGAGAACAAAGGGAAAAGAAAAGCAGGGGTGTTTTTCCAGGGTTTTATAATCTGTGGTGAACCTAAGTCCAAATTTCACTTATTACTCAGTTCCAAGGAGGCTGGGCTTAAATACTCAAAATCTTGGCAAAACATCATATTTGTGTGACGTTAAAATAATGCAACACGACTTTAACATCATCTCTTGGTAGAACTCTAGAGTAAGAGGCAGAAACCCTGGGTTTACCCTTTGTTGGGTTTCTTGCTTGCCTACGTGGTCCTGGGCAAGTGACCTAACTTCTCTGTTTCACTTTCCTTATATATAAAAGGATGAGGAAAAGTTCTTGTTATGGGTTGAACTGTGTTCCCACCAACGAGATACTGAAGTCCTAATCCCCTATACCTGGGAAGGTGATCTTATTTGGAAATAGGGTCTTTAGAGGATGGAGTCAAGATGAGGTCATTGGAGTGGGCCCTAATCCACTGTGACTGGTGTCCTTCTAAAAAGGACATTTGGTTACAGAGACAGACATGCACACGGGGAGAGCGCCGTCTGAAGCTGAAGGCAGAGATCAGGGTGATGCTCTTACAAGCCAAGGAACATCCACGATTGCCAGCAAACGGCCAGAAGCTGGGAGACGCATCACACCCTCTTCCTCACAGTCCTCTGCGGGAGCCAATCCTGCTAACACCTTGATCCTGAGCCTTGGTTTACGGAACTGTGAGATAATACATTTCTATTGTGTGAGCCCCCGGACGGCAATACTGTGTTCAAGGTCGCTCTGGAACATGAGTCCACTCCACTCACCTCCCAGAGTGGGGTCCGATGAGCTGGGCCATAGAAGCTCACTTGGGGGCCGGGGGGACCGGTGTAAAGAGGAGGACCAGCCACCACCTGTCTCATGATCCAGGCAAGAACACCTGGCCCAGTGTCGTCTCCTCCTCGGGCCTCCCTCCTCTATTGGGGGTTAACCCTTACCTTCTACTCTCAGGGGGCCCATGTCATGAGATACAAATACAGATTATGTGTGTGTTACTACACAGATTCTAAAAGTTCTGCGATTCTGGAACCGTTCTGGAGCCAGGGCTGTCCACGAGCAGGGCTGGCGGTGAACAAAGGCTGCTCTGGGGATCCCTTCTCGGTCTCTGCTCTTTCTGCTCCCAGACCCACCCGGGCTCCGGTCTGGGATGTCACACCGTGAAGTTACTGACGGAGTGGCTACTCCTGCTAAAAGGACCCCGAGAGAGGGCCAAGTTGTACCCCAAAAGGAGTGACCTTGTCATGGAGCACTTGTGGGAGGGATAGAGCTCTTAGTGCCCCTGATGTGCGTCCTGGTGCTAGCAAACGCCGTCTGATCACTCACGGAAATGTCGATCTCTTCCATCTTGGATTTGGGGTTCCTCTTGATGGACAGGATAAGTGAAACAGCCCCATCCATACTCATAGGGTTCAGGAAAAGCTGTGGGAAGAGGGACGAGAGACGCGGGGGATAAGGTGGGGACAGGAGAGGCTGGCTCAGAGCATGGCTTCTGTTACTTCCCATCAAATTGTCATCTCTGTCTTCCACCCAGACTTCTCTGTAAGCACCTGTCTCCCTGTTTGTCCAGACATCCATCTGCTTGTCCATCTCACTGCTCATTCATCCATCTATCTGTTCATCCGTCCATCCAGCCAGCAAACCTACCATGTGCCAGTTGCTGGGAAACGTGCTAAGGGACGCACAGGCAGACAGGACAGGTCTCTGCCCTCCTGCAGCTTACAGTCTAGAGGGGGCCGGAGGCAAACGCATGAATGGCATCAGGAGTGCAGTGAGGGCAGTGACAGAGGCACACCCTGGTACCGCGGAAGCCAGGAAAGGGGCATCCGACACCGGGGAGGGGACACTTGAGGTAAGTGTTGCAGAACTAATGGGGATTCTTCTGGTCTGGAAGAAGCCGGGGCAGGACCAGAAAAGGGAATGAGATGCACCAAAGTAGACAAGGGTAGGCAAGTGCAAAGGTGCAGAGGTGTTTGGGCAATGGCAAACATCTCTTGAGCAGGAGCCAGAAGAATGAGGCCACAGAGCTTCACAGGGACCATGAAGGCCTAGCTGAGCACATAGGGCATGATCCCAAGGCAGCTGAGAGCCGCTAAAGCTTGGTGTAGTGGTTAACAGCAAGGAACACGGAGCCCAGTGGCTCTGCTTCCTAGTTTGCTGGCCTTGGATTAATTCCCTGACCGCTGGGTACCTATTGCTTCGGGCCACTCTGAGGTTCCAATAAATCAATTCAAGCAAAGCATTCAAAAGAATGCTTTGTACCCACTAAGCAGCAAATGAATGTTAGTTATTATTGTTGAAGGCTTTCTGCCAGGTGGTGTCTTCATGAGGCAGCCAGAACTTTCCCCGAGCACCTACTCTGTGTCCGGCTTTTCCCCGGCTCCGACAGACTTGAGAGAGAAAACACAGACTTCGTAAGGCTTAACTTCTAGAAGCCTTTGGTTGACTCACTTCCCTGGGGAAATCCTTATTTTTCCAAGAGTAGGGAAAGGAGGGCCGTGCTCGACGTGGAGAACAGGAGATCATTCCAGGCTCAAGATTCATGTGGCTCCCACCTACGCCCCAGCTGAGAGGTAGGTTGTAAGTTGTGTTTAAAACTTTTTCCTTTCATTTTAAAACATAAAGCGAATTTTACATATATTTAAACACATGACAATATGTTTAAACATTTAAACAGTGACCCATGGTCATTATATAAGAAATTCAAAGAGAGGTAGAAAAAATGTTAAAATCACCAGTACCCACCGAGTAGAGAAAACCCCCGTTGCCACGTTGCTGAGGCAACGTTTCCATCTTTTACGATTCGGGTGCTCTGAACTTGGCTTCATGGTTCCACGGAGGCTGAGTCCCAGGCAGGCTGCATCGGCCAGTCTCTCTTCTCTGAGTTACTCTTCCTCTGGCTCGGGCCGGACCTCACTGCCAGCTCTCGAGGTCCCCAGCCGGTGCCCCCTGCTCCCTCCACTGCTGGGAAGCTGGCTTCCTCTTTGCAGTGCTGAGGGGCTTGTCCTCTGAGATGACAGTTCACTGTCACTGACGTCTAACTCCCGTCCTTCTCCACCAGCACCCCCACATCTGTGGCCCCCCGAATCACCTCCCCTCCCATCTTGAGGAATTTGGAGTTGCAGCGGGAAGCCAGGCGAGGCTGACTTCTTTGCCTCTCTTGAGCTGCAGGGCCTGAGCTGGTCACGTAGGCTCGGCTTTCCCATCTGACAGGTGGTGCGCATGGAGCCCATGCTGGAGGGCCGCGTGGGAGGCAAGAAGCCAGCCCCCTAATAGGCACCTGCCTCAGGGCAGGAGCCCCAGAAAGGGAAACTGGTAATGGAAGGCCTCCTTTGTCATCTGTTTTCTAACCGCCCAGGAGCTTCTTTTTTTTTTTTTTTTAAGATTTTATTTATTTATTTGACAGAGAGATCACAAGTAGGCAGAGAGGCAGGCAGAGAGAGAGGGGGAAGCAGACTCCCCGCTGAGCAGAGAGCCTGATGCGGGACTTGATCCCAGAACCCTGATATCATGACCTGAGCCGAAGGCAGAGGCTTAACCCACTGAGCCACCCAGGCGTCCCGCCCAGGAGCCTCTATGTTAGATATTAGCATCTATAAGCCAATCTATGTATTTATTTATTTTTAAAGATTTTATGTATTTATTTGACAGAGAGAGAGAGAGAGAGAGAGTGCATACAAGCTGGGGGTGGGGGCAACCGGCAGAGGCAGGCATCCCTATAAGCCAATCAATTTACAATGAAAGATGTAGGGACGCCTGGGTGGCACAGTTGCTGAGACTTTGGCTCAGGTCATGATCCCAGCGTCCTGGGATCGAGCCCCACATCAGGCTCCCTGCTCAGCGGGAAGACTGCTTCTCCCTCCCCCACTCCCCTGCTTGTGTTTCTTCTCTCCCTGTCTCTCTCTGTCAAATGAATACATAAAACCTTTTTAAAAATAAAATGAAAGAGGGGCGCCTGGGTGGCTCAGTGGGTTAAAGCCTCTGCCTTCTGCTCAGGTCATGATCCCAGGGTTCTGGGATCGAGCCCCGCATCAGGCTCTCTGCTCGGCAGGGAGCCTGCTTCCCCCTCTCTCTCTCTACCTGCCTCTCTGCCTGCTTGTGATCTCTCTCTCTCTGTCAAATAAATAAATAAAATCTTTAAAAAAAATAAAATAAAATAAAATGAAAGATGTTTTCATTCTTTCATTAATGGACATTCCTTGGGCATCTATTATGTGTCCATAGGTACAAGGGGTAAAACAATGGGCAGAAGAAAACAGCATCTTTGGTCTGGTGCAGCTCTCACACCAGTGGGGGTGACCAGACAGTCAGCAAGTCACTGAAATGAGAGTCTAGGGAGGAACCTGGCAAGTTCTGCATGAAGGGGTGAGCTGAGATCTGAGGGTCCATGGGGACGGCTGCCGGAGCAGGGCGCTGAGCTGGGGCAGTGACCCAGGTAGGGGCAGGGAACAGTGGGGGAGAGCATTACAGGGGAGGTTGAGCCAAGGCCATCGGGAGAGCCGGGCCCTGGGATGGGGGAGATGAAAGCAGCTCCTGAGGCCATGGCTGGACAGCAAGGGAGAGCACGGGGTAAACTGAGTCCGGAGAAGCACACCGGGAGGAGAGAACCGGCTCTGAACCATAGGAAGCCAGGCGGGGATCTAAGCCGAAGGGGACTAGATGCGGGTCGGGGTGGAAGTCAGACTTATGCTCAAAACGCACACTCTGGCTTCAGTGTGGAGCGAAGTCCCAGGTGGGAGGAAGGAAGACGGGTTGGGAGATGAGCCCATGCGCCAGGTGACAGCAGAGGGTGACATTAGGGTTGTGAAGCCCAAGGTGAATTTTCCCAACAATTCTCCCAGCAACATGCAACCCCATCACCCTGCCGCACCCGCCCAGCATACAAAGACACACACACACACAGACGGATGCACGCACACACACCTGAACGCGCGTGCACACACACACGGACACACACATAAAACGCCCTGCTCCCAGCTTAAGTAAAGACTTCACCTTCAGAACTTTGAGGCTCTCATTGACCTCCAGCCCTTTGCTGATTTTGGAGACTCCGTCGTTGGTGATGTCATTGCAGCTGATGTCTAGGTAGACCAGGGAGTTGTTGAGTCTGAGGACCTCCCCCAGGGCTGTAGCCCCCTCGTTTCCAAAGCCGTTCATAGAGAGATCCAGTTTCTGCAGGGTCGTATTAACCTCCAGGGAGGGGAGAGAACAGCGCCAGCAGCAAGGCTGCGGGTGACTCCACCAGCCACCAGGCCCTGGTTTCTCTCCCCTGCTGCTGTCCAGTTTGGGTGCCCCGTGGTCTCCAGGAGGGAGAGCTCCGCCAGAATTTTCCAGATCCCTTCCAGTGGAGGGAGTCAGGACCTGGTCATTCCCTACCCTCTAATGAAACTGCCCTCTTGGGCGCCTGGGTGGCTCAGTGGGTTAAGCCTCTGCCTTCGGCTCAGGTCATGGTCTCAGGGTCCTGGGATCGAGCCCCACATCGGGCTCTCTGCTCAGCAGAGAGCCTGCTTCCCTTCCTCTCTCTCTCTGCCTGCCTCTCTGCCTACTTGTGATCTCTGTCTGTCAAATAACTAAATAAAATCTTTAAAAAAAAAAAAAAAAAAAAAAAAAAGAAACTGCCCTCTTGATGTATTCCCAAAGATGCCACCGAGACCCCAGCAAGGTGCATTTGCCAAAGTAGGATTTATACTAAGGAATAAAGCACATCCAGGAATTGTGGGAGGGACACTAACAACGGGAAAGCATCGGATGAGAGCTCAACCATGGGGTGTGCTCATCCACAGGGTCATGAGGAAGAGGTTTGAGATGGCGGGATGGGAGGCCCTGGACGTCCTCACTGGCCTCAACACACCACTGCCAGGGAGCGCCTTACCCGGAGACCATTGCACAAGGCCACAGCTCCCCGCACGTGGAAGTGATTCCAGCTCAGATCCAGTGACTGGAGCCCTATATTGAGGGCTGGGGGAGGGAGGGAGTCATCTTAGTGTTCCCCAAATCCCAGGGAACCCATTCTCAGAGTTGACAGATGTCCATGACATCGGGGAATAAGGACTACTCAACGGTCATGCGAAGTAAGACACTGGGACAATAATGTTTGAGTTATTCACCGAAAGACAAAATTGTCAGAGGACTCCCGAAGCCGGCAACAACGCGGTCAAACAATCCCACTCGTACACTGCAGGCGGCAAGCAGATGGCTACAATCTATTTGGCAAATGTGATCTGGTCACAGATATTTGGCTCTTGGACTGTGTGTGTCCTATCATGCAAGCAATGTCACCTGTGAGACCCTTCCTAAGGAGACAGTGCAGGATGTGAGGTGAGTCCCATGCTTGCAGGTGTTTAACCGTGGCCTCACTTAGAAAAGTAACATTCGTGACTCACAGGGGAAGGGTCAAGTACATAACAAACATCCATCTGACGGGACGTAATGCAGCCATTCAACTAATTGAGATGGTTGGAACCCAAGGGTTGTAGTTACACAGGGAGGCGGTGATGGCCTATTGCATCACGCGATGTGTTTTTCTTGGAGAACTACGGAGCAGAGGAGGCTCCGGAAAGCTTTAGGGACACCATCAGTTCTAAGTGGTGAGGCACCAGGCTTATCTAAAAGCTGGTTTGCATAGAAGTTGTACTTTTTTTTAACTTAAAAATATTTTGGGGGCGCCTGGGTGGCACAATCTATTAAGCGTCTGACTCTTGGTTTCAGCTCAGGTCATGATCTCAGGGTTGTGAGTTCGAGCCCTGCTTTGGGCTCTGCATTCAGCAGGGGAGTCTGCTTGGGACTCTCTCCCTCTCCCTCTGCCCTTCGCCAGCTCTTTCTCTCTCTAAAATCAATCAATAAATCTTAAAAAAATATTTTTGCTTACGTGCTACCTAGGGTTGGGAAAACATCCTCTTGAAACTTGTGATTATGGTTATTTGTACTGGGGGAGGGCGGCTATGCTGAGGACACCGTTGGAAAGGGGCTGAAGAACCCTTGAAACTTGGCTGGGCGGGAGGGAGGGCCTTCACCCTCAGACCCAGGAAAATGTCCTACTCGATGTTCTTTTCCACGGTCAGTGCGCTGTGTACTGATTGTCTCTTGTGTCAACCCCCAGGATGGACTTTGAGTAAAATGCCCAACACCTTACACCATTTTGAGAACAAACTTCCCCCTCTCATTCTCTTCCTATCCCTACTCCCTCTTCTCTGCCAATTCCCTCCCTTACTGTGCCTCGTACACCTGCATCTCTTCGATGACCACACAATTTAAATGTGACTTCTGTTCTCACCCCTGACTAGCTGTGTGACCTTGAGTGGGCTCCTTATTCTTCCCTTACTTCTGTTTTCTTAGCTGTGAAAGTGGAGGTAGTAACCCATACAAGGTTTTGGGGGAAAACCGAAGTAAAATGTCTAGCAGGACGCCTATCCCATGACAATCACTGAATCACTGGCAGCCTTAATAATAATATTTTTTAAAAAGCTCATATACAATAGGAGTCTGTCTCACTTTCATGTTGTTTTAAAATTTAGGGTTATTTATCTATTTATTGTTTAAAAAATATTTTATTTATTTATTTGAGAGAGAGAGCGTGCACACAAGCAGGGGGGAGGGGCAGAGGGAGAGGGAGAAGCAGGCTCCCTCCTGAGCAGAGAGTCCTACGCGAGACTCGGTCCTGGGATGCCGCCATCATGACCTGAGGTGAAGGCAGACACTTAACCAACTGAGTCACCCAGGCACCCCAAATTTATAGTTTTTTAAAAGCAATTTTAAGTTATCTCTATACCCAACATGGGGCTCAAACCCATAACCCCAAGATCAAGAATTACAGGTTCCACCAACTGAGCCAGCCAGGTGCCCCTAAAATTTAGTTTTAACGTATTTGAACATCAGGTTTCAGATGGACTCAAACTGCCCCACAAGGCTGGTGCACTATGCTCCTCCCCTCTGACCTATCAGCCTGGACCCTTCTCTTGGGGAAGATGTCGTTCACACCTCACTGAGCAGGTGGCAGCAGTGACATGGGAGAGTTCTACCCTCCTCCACTCCCTACCCCTTCTATCCGCCCCCCACATCTGTCACCTCGAGCACACACTTCCGGGTCCTCCCTCTCTCAACACGTTTCTCAGAGGCTATCCCTGCCCTTTTGTTCTTCACTCCATGGCTGCCAGCATTTTCTTTCTTTCTTTTCTAATTTAAATTCAGTTAATTAACTTACAGTGAATTATTAGTTTCGAGGTAGAGGTCAGTGAATCATCAGTTGTATGTAACACCCAGTGCTCACGACATCACGTCCCCTCCTTCATGCCCATCACCCAGTTACCCCATCCCTCCACCTCTCGCCCCTCCAGCAACCCACAGTTTGCTTCCTATGATTAAGAGTCTCTTATGGTTTGTCTCCCTCTCTGATTTCATCTGGTTTTATTTTTGTCTCGCTTCCCCAAAGCTCCTCTGTCGGCCTTCTCAAGGACTCTGTTCTGCAACTACCTCCTCTTCCTTTCTCACGACCCATATCTTCTTCTTTCCTTCCTATGAGTATTTTCCAACATTACGAGCCTTCCTGCCTCCATGTCCATCTTTCTGCCCCAGCCTCGTTTCCGAGAAGCTCCTGGAAGTGCCCACATTGCCATTTCACTTCTTTGCGGCCCATTTTCAGTTCTGCCTTCTCTAGTCAGATCCCCACACTCACGTCCTTCACTAACACAGCTCTCATCAAGGTCGCCAATTACCTTCATGCTGCCGGGTCCTGTAGTCACTTTTCTGACCTCATCTTATTTGATGTCTACACAGCACTTGACCCACCTGAGACCACTTTCTCCTTCCTGAAAGCATCCCTTACTTGGCTTGTTGATACCTCACTTCCCCCTACTTAGCTGACCACGCCTGCTCAGGCTCCCCCTCCCCCTCTGGGACACGTGAAGGTGTCAGACTGGTCCAATGGCCATCATCTTAACTCCATCCACACTCCTTGCCTCGATGATCTCATCTTGCCCCATGGTTTTGAATACATTGCAATGCCTCTAACTCCCAGGTCCAGATCTCCAGTCCTGACCTGTTCACCAAGTTCTAAACCCATGTAGCAAACTGTATGTCTCACCGCAGATGACAGACATGCAAACATCACATGACCAAAACGGAAGTCTTGGCTCCTGACTCCTGTCCCTCCATAATACTTACTCCCTGAGTTCCCCCTTCTAATTAAATGGCACCACCATCCAACCAGTTCCTGAAACAAAATAACCAGGCATGTATCTTTCTCGCTCCCTTTCCTTCATTCTCCACATCTGCAAGTCTTTTTGGCTTTACTTCCAAAGTCCATTCTGGATCCTTCCACTCCCCTCTGTTACTACCTTTTCTCTCAGCTCCAGCTATGGTCCCCTCTTGCCTGGACTGCAGTATTAGTCTCCTAACTGACCTTCTTTCTTACATTTTTTCTTTTTAATTAAAGTGCAATTAGCATACAGTGTTACGTTAGTTTCAGGTGTATGACATATCGATCCAACCATTCTATATATTACCTAGCGCTCACTATGGCAAGTGTCACCATAGTGACACCATAGTGACAACACCATTAAGATACTATTGACAATGTTCTCTATACTATACTTCTCATCTCCATGACTTGTTTTATAACTGGCCATTTGTACCTCTCAATTCCCTCCACCCAGCTCACCCGTGGCCCCCACCCCCATCCCAGCAGCCACCAGTTTGTTCTCTGTATTTAAGAGTCTGGTTGTCGGGGCGCCTGGTGGCTCAGTAGGTTAAAGCCTCTGCCTTCAGCTCAGGTCGTGATCCCGGAGTCCTGGGATCAAGCCCCGCATCGGGCTCTCTGCTCAGCGGGGAGCCTGCTTCCTCCTCTCTCTCTCTGCCTGCCTCTCTGCCTACTTGTGATCTCTGTCCGTCAAATAAATAAATAAAATCTTTAAAAAAAAAAAAAAAGAGTCTGGCTGTCCTCAGCTGTGTTCTTCATAAAACTGCATAAACTTCACAAAACAGTTCCTCTAAACTGCGAAGCCGGCCGTGTCACTCCCCGATGCTAACAACCTGCGCCGACTTCCATCACATGGGGAACGTGATGATGAACACGACTTCATGCTTGTCTTAGCCCACCAAGCCCCGGCTGAGCAGCGGCAGGCCACCGCGCTGACCTCTTCCTTCCATTCGCTTCCCCTGCCCGCTCTCCTCCCCTCTCCCCTGCCTGCTCTGCCGCAGTCCCACCGCCCCCCTTCCTCAGACTTGCCAGGCTCTGCTCCTTCCGCCTGGCATGCTGAGCTTCCAGAACCTGGTTCTTCTTTGATAGTCAGGTTTCAACAAAAAGCCACCTTCCCTGTGGGGCTTTTTCTCGCCACCCCACCTAGAGTAGCATCTCTCCCGCCAACGGTGATGCCGTTTTCTACTCATTTCCCCTAGGAATGAACATTTAGTTTCTTTCTTTTTTTTCTTATAACAAATCTGCAATGAGCCTCCTCAGACATCTCTATGTACGCGTGGGAGCGTCGCTGAGACATGCACCGGTGAATTGTTGTATCATGGAATATATACATTTTCTATTTTACTAGATACTGTCAAACTGCTCCCCCAAACTGGCAGCTTCAGAGAGTTCTTATTTCTCCCCTGGATTCAATGCACTACGTATTCTCTAACTTGAAATTTCTGCAGCTTTGGTAGAGGACAAGGGGGATCTTTTCATTGTTTTATTTTGCATTTCTCTAATTGCTAGAGAGTTTAGGCATTTGGCTTTCTGTAGGATCATTGTTCTACTGGGAGTGTTCATCATTGTCCAAGGATCTGTAGGATCTTTTATCAATATTCTGAACACAAATCTTGTATATGATAGGATGCTGCAAGTGTGTGCTCTCTGTTGCTTGTCTTTTCACATTGTCCCATAACATCTTTTATCAGAGGCAAGTTTTAAACTTATCGTTGTCAAACAAATGAATCATTTTGGTTACAGTTTTCACCTGCCGTGCCTATTTAATCACCCTTAGCCTCACTGAGGTCAGCAAGTTATTCCTTCGTATGTTTTTCTGATCTTTGTAAAGTGTTATTTCCCACATTCAGATGTTGGCTCCACTTAAAATGTCTGGGGTGTGGCTTCCATCACTTTATGATTTGAGCATTCAATAACCATACAAAACAGGGGGATGCAGCCCTGACAGGTGACCGACCGTCTGCCAAGTGCCTCTCCTTTGCTGGACCCTTCCCTCGGTGGGGGACTCACCCAGCATCTGGCCCACGTACTCTCCTCCCTTATCAGAGAACTGGTTGTGGCTGAGATCCAGCGTCTTGATTTGGTAATTGGCCTGGAGAAAGAGACCGTGTAGAGAGGTGATTTTTGTCTTCTCTATGGCTGCAAATACCTCTTTCATCTCAGGGCCGTGTGATGGAGGGCTCCCACGCACCAAAAATTGAGTGGACCAGAGCATTTAGACAGAAGATAGTCTCTTGCGCATTTTCTGTAACAGTTGATTACCCCTGGGAGAGTTTTGTCCCCTCCAAACAGCCCTGCTGCTGCCGTGGCTATTGTCAGGCTCGGCAGAGTCCAGATCCTTACCAGCTCCCTAGACTTTTGGGTGGAACTCACTCTTCTCTGCCCAGAGCCACCCGCCAGGCCCCCCACATGGCCCAGGACCATGGCCCAGGGGGCTCTCAGTGGCACCCGCCCCTCACTTCTTACCGACAAGGCTTGGCACAACAGTTCTGCGGATTTGTCCCTGAAGTTATTTCCTGCAGTGAAGGGGAGGGGAGGGGGGGCGTTTGCAAGGCTGTCCAGACTAGGGCTCCCTTGCCCTCCCGAGTCCTGGCCCTGCCAGGCTCTTCCTTTTGGAACAATCAGCCATAAGAAAGGTGGCAAGTACTTAAGCAAAATATGGATATGGAAGAAAACAAGAGAAAAGAAGGCAACTGTTTGCCTTTCTCTTTAATCTTCCTTGCTCTCTCTGCCTTGATAGGGCAAGGAGTTCCAGGAGCCCGTGTACCCGCCCCTGTGCGCCCCCTGGTGGCGCCAAACCCTACTCTGGTGCCTGAAGTTAGTCGTGTGATAAAAAATAAGACCACAGTCGCAGGACCAGAGGGGACCAATTGAGGCGAGCCCTTTGCATCCAAAATCCCAGCTCCCTAAGCGCAATGAGCAATATATTTATTCACAAAAGAATTTTTAGAAATATTGCAATATTTCTAAAAATGCAATATTTCTAAAAATAAAAATTAATGCAACACTTCTAGGATGAACAAAGTTTTAAAATTTTAAATAAAGGTAGGATAAGACCCTGCCCTTGCATGGCGAGCCCTCACTCACCTCACCACAATCTGTTCCTTTTGGATCTTGTTTTATATTGGAAGTGTTGATATTTTGTTCAGCACAGACTTTTTTTTTTTTTTTTTTTACATCGTTTTTGACTTTTATAAACACTGCAACACAGTATTACTTACTTGGTTACTGAGCTTTTCTGTGCCCCTTAAATTCTAGGACTGAGGCATGTGCCCTCTTTATTTTACTCTCAGCCCAGCACTGCTAGACAGTTTAAAAGATTTCTGGAAAATTGGGGTGCCTGGGTGGCTCAGTCGGCTGAGCATCTGACTCTTGATTTTGGTTCTGGTCATGATCTTGGGGTTCTGGGATCGAGCCCTGCATCAGGCTCTGTGCTCAGCAGGGAGTCTGCTTGAGGATTCTCTCCCTTTTCCCCCTCTCCTCCACTCACACGCACTCTCTCTCAAGTAAATAAATCTTAAAAAAAAAAAAAGATTTCTGGAAAATAAATGACATAGAAGTTTATCCCCAAATTTCTCCTTTAAACTTTTAATGATCTGTCTATCTTTAACACCCAAACAGTGCTTGGCACCTAACAGTGTTCTGTCAACATTTACTGAATGAATGAATGAATGAATGAATGAATCCACTGAGACACAAATGTTTCTTGGTTGCATCTGTACCAGTGCAATAAAATGAGATAATAAGCTAGTCTAGGTATAAAATTAGGTTTCTAGCTATTCAAATTATTTTTACATCAATGGTTACAAATAGTAGAGCTGGCTGTAAGTTTGATAAAATACAGATGCCTAGATCCCTTCCTTTAAAGACTCTGATTCAGCAGCCTGGAGTAGGACTGGGTAATTTGTCTTTTTAGAGAGGTTTCTGTATTAGGTTAACGTTATATTAGAGGTCTTAGCCGATGCAACTAGAAAAGTCACTGGAAGCTATAAATACTGGAAAGAAGAGACAAAACTCCCATTATTTGCAGACAGGATCACCTACCTAAATAATCTAAGAAAATTAACTGATGAAAATGTTAGGACTAGTAGGATAACTCGATAAAGTGACTGGGCGGGGGTGAGGTTTGCACCTGAGTGGCTCAGTCAGTTAAGCGTCTGACTCTTGATTTCGGCTCAGGTCCTGATCTCGGGGTGCTGAGCCTCATGTCAGGCTCTGCGCTGAGTGAGGAGCCTGCTTCAGATTCTCTCTCCCTCTCTCTCTCTCCTCCTCTCCTCCCCACCACTTGCACTCTCTAAGTAAATGAATGAATGAATGAATGAATGAATAAAGTGACTGGATATAGTATCAACATGCAGAAATTAATAGCTCTCAGACATATCTGTAATAACCACTTAGAATATATGATAGAAAAGGCATTCTGTTCATGCAGGAATAAAATGATAAAACACCTGGATCTATTATGAAATGTGCAAGACTTCTACTTCTAATGGAATAAAAGCACACTACTTTACTGAAGAAGATAAAGCCTTGAAGAAATAGAGACAAACCTAGTGCTTGGGATTTGTTCCCAAGCATTGACTTCAACATCCACACATTTAACCATCCTCATTTACAGATAACTTGCTGAGAGCCAAAATGGAGACCGTATATGGAAACAGATTTTCCATTGGTAGAATTGTAACCTGCTACTGTCTTCTTCTTTTTTTAAAAAGATTTTATTTATTTATTTGACAGACAGAGATCACAAGTAGGCAGAGAGGCAGGCAGAGAGAGAGGGAAGCAGGCTCCCCACTGAGGAGAGAGCCCGATGCGGGGCTCAATCCTAGGACCCTGGGATCATGACCTGAGCTGAAGACAGAGGCTTAACCCACTGAGCCGCCCAGGCGCCCCCTGCTACTGTCTTCTTAAGTGAAGACATTAAATATCTCAGATACATCAATTCTTTCCTAAATTAATCTAATCTAAATATAACCCCAAGCAAAATCGCAACAGTTTGGGTTTTTTCGTTTGTTTTTTTTTTTTATGGAACTTGACAGGATGATTCTAAAATTCAGCTGGAGGAGAAATTGCACGAGAATAGCCAAGATTACTTTGAAAAAGAAGGTCAGAATTTGTCCACTCAAATATAAAACATATTGTGTCATATAATTATACAGCTAATATATTACATATTGTATACTTGATATATTTTATTAATTACAAATAATCATTAAACTAAAACACATGGCATATAATTTTAATATTCTAAACAAATATTAAACCAGTGTGGTGTTGACATAGATATAGACACAGAGATTAATGAAATGGAAAAGAAAACCTAGAAAGAAACCTGTATTTATAGGGAAGTTTAATATAAAATAAAGGTGACATTTCAGATTAGTCAGTAAAGACTAGATTATTTAGTTGATGATGCTGAGGCACCTGGCTATTGGTTTTGGAGATACAGTGTTTGATTCTTTCTCTTCCTCATGCCATGAACAACAACAAGTTCCAGATATACTAAAGATTAGGGATGAAAAAACAAAATCACAAAAACATCTGAAGAAAATTAAGGAAAACATTTTTAAAATTCAAAGTAGAAAACAGTTTTTTGAGCAGGACTACAAAAGTCAAATCTATAAAAAAGTATGATGAACTTTTTTTTTTTTTTAAAGGAATTGACAATGGTGGGGCGCCTGGGTGGCTCAGTGGGTTAAGCCTCTGCCTTCGGCTCAGGTCATGATCTCAGGGTCCTGGGATCAAGCCCTGCATCAGGCTCTCTGCTCGGTGGGGAGCCTGCTTCTCCCTCTCTCTCTCTCTGCCTGCCTCTCTGCCTACTTGTGATCTCTCTCTCTCTCTCTGTCAAATAAATAAATAAAATCTTTTTTAAAAAATCACTTAAAAAAAAGAATTGACAATAGTAAAAAATACAAACTTAATAAGAAATCTGTGTAAGAAAACACCATAAGCAAAGCCATAGGTAACATTCTAACATTCAAGTGTGAATATGTATAATATATAGTTTCTAACACTCAATAATACAAACAATCCCACAGAACAACTGGCATTTCATAGCGGAAAATAAAAATGGAAATGAGCATCTGGAAAAGATGTTTTATTTCAGTAGTAATGTGGGGATGTAATAAAGATAGTAACAATGATGAACTCTTATTGAATTCTTATGTGCCAGGTATTGTTCTAGGTGTTCTAAATTTTAATTCACTTGATCTCAGCAGTCACTGTCTGAAGTAGGTAATATTATTCTCCCTCGTTTATAAATGAGAAAAATGAATCACAGAAGGGCTAGATAACTTGCCTTGTGTCAAAGCCAGGATTTGCGCCCTGACAGTAGTGGTCATGTTTCATGGGTCTCGTCCCTCCCTCCCCTGTGACTTCAACATCTATACATTCAATTATTCTGATTCACAAAAAACTTGCTAATAACCAGGAATTCACCAAAAACTTGCTAATAACCAGGAAACAGATATTCCATTGGTGGAATTATAGCTTGGTATAGTCTTCTTGTTTGTTTGTTTTTTTTAGATTTTTTTTTTTTAAGTACTCTCTACCCCCGATGTGGGGCTCTAACTCACGACCCTGAGATAAAGAGTTGCATGCTCTATTGACTGAGCCAGCAGGTGCCCCTGGCATGATCCTCTTCTTCTTCTTATCTTTTTAAAAAAGATGTATTTATTTTAGAGACAGAGAGAGAGAGAGAGAGAGAGAATACATGAGTGGGGGAGGGGCAGAGGGAGAGGAAGAAGCAGGCTCCCCACCGAGCAGGGAGCCTGATGTGGAGCTCCAGCTCAGGACCCCAGGACCATGACCTGAGCTGAAGATAGATGTTAAAACGACTAAGCCACCCAGGCACTCCAATTTCTAATAATTCTATTTTCTCAAGTTCTTGATGCTGCCACTTACTAGAATTGGACAGCTCTCACAGTGTTTCGCTTCCTTGCTCTGCATTTTTGGACTGTGAGCCCATCTTTAGTGGAGCTTTATCTGTGAGAATTCCAAACAGCCTGGAGCCTCGGTCAAGGGATTGTTCCTCCAGTGGGGTGTTCTCTTTGTTCCTGTCGCATGCCTCAGGGCATTACCAGCATGGGACCACTTAGGTTAAATTCCAGGACCCTGAAGATAATATAAACCCAAACCACAAACCTGAGTGAGGACAAGTCTGTGGGTGCTAGAGTTCTCAAATGAGTTTTGTTTTTTTTTTTGTTTTTCTTCTGTGAGAGAGACAGATAACAGACTAATTACAAACTGAGTGTACAATGGGGATCAGGTAGCAATAAATGCTGTTAAGAAACGCAGGGAAACAGGACAGTGATGGAGATGGAGGGGAGGTCAGGGAAGTCCCCTGTAATGAGAGGACATTTGAACAGAGGCATGAATAAAGCAACAGAATGAGCCATGCAGATACCTCGGGTAGAGACTTTTCAAGCGGAGGCTGGCATGCTGCCAAGTGAGTCAGAAGTCTCTTGTCTGGGAGAGCCAGGAAGCCAGTGTGGCCATGGGGAGGGGAAAAGATGACCAAAGGGCTTAACAGGGTGCAGACACAGTGTTCTGGAACCTGGTCTGGCTCCGTTAGACCCTGGATTCTCTGCTCTACCCCTTCTCTCCTTTTCATCCCCTTGTCCTCTCCTGCCTCGTCTTCCATGGGCTCACCTGAAAGCTGGAGGTTCCAGAGCGAAGAGATATTTCTCTGAAGGAATTCTGAGATGATTCTGGCCCCCTTCAAGCCAAGATCATTGTCGGAAACATTCTAAAAAGCAAGAACACCCTTATGTGTGTATTGAATACGCCACCCAAGCACCCTCATTAACAAATGGTGTCCAGGAGGGGCTTACTCAAGACCTGCACTGGGGAGTAGGGCTGGGTGGGGAGAGGGGCAGGGGAGAAAGGGGAGGAAGGATTGGGAAGAGCAAAGGAGCAGAGGACGATGAGAATTCAGCTTCCCTAACACCTGGCTGGGAGGCCCGCCTGCTGGTCTCAGTTTTCTCTGGTCAGTTTTGGTGACTCCCCACTTCTCTGGTTTGGCTCTAGTACTTTACTTTTTTTTTTTTTTTTTAAGATTTTATTTTATTTGACAGAGAGAGACATAGTGAGAGAGGGAGCACAAGCAGGGGAGGGTGGGAGAGGGAGAAGTAGGCTTCCTGCCGAGCAGGGAGCCCAGGGTGGGACTCGATCCCAGGACCCTGGGATCACAACCGGAGCCAAAGGCAGACGCCTAACAACTGAGCCATCCAGGCGCCTCAGCCCTAGTACTTTAGATAAACTTACTGTACATTTTTTTGAAACCTAAGACAGCTTTATTAGGAGAGTTCGGCATAAAGCAATTGAAAGATTCCTTCAGAGTAATTCATCATTGTAAATTTCATTCACTGATTTGTGAAACATGAATGACTGTGCCAGGAACACGCAGGGATACAAATGGACACAGTCTTTTAGGGTTTGTGGGAGGGACCTTTATACAAACCAGCCCTTATGATCTTAATTGCTTCTCCTCCTTTTTCCCCCATTTCTAAATTATGGTAAACTAGACATAACACAACATTTACCCTCTTAACTATTCCTAAGGGTACTGTGCAGTGGTCTGAAGTACGTTCACATGCTTATGCAACCCTCGCCATCATCTGTCTCCAGACACATTGTGTTTGAAGGAAGTATTTTGTGCCTTTATTTTCTCTAAGTTCACTTTAAAGCGACTTTGCGGAAGGGCTTATAAGGTCCAGACAGAACTGGTTTCTTAGAGTTTCCTTGGGCCACGGGGAACACAACCCCCGCTCCCGGCCAGCCTCTGACGCGCGGCCCTCCTCTGAGAAGTCACCTCTGGAGGAGAGGGGCCTCCAGGCCCATCGCTGGAAGCTGGAGGCTGGCCGGGGCCGAGGGCGGGGGGTCTCTGGCCCATCCTAGGTGGTGTGGGGGGCCCCGGTGCGGGGACGGGAGCCGGCAAAGGGGCCACAGTACCATCTCCTGCAGGTAGTAATTCTCTTGTAGCATCTCCACCAGGCTCAGGAGACCCTCCTCCATGAGAGAGTTGTCTGCCAGCTCCAGGGTGACCACACTCGTGTTGGACTTCGGCCGCCACAAGAGGAGGGGCAGAAAGAGAGGGAGTCAGTGACCCGATCAGTTCCCGGCCCTTGCCCAGAGCCTGTCCTTTCCCTTAACATCCTGGCCTTTTCAGAGGGCACAGAGCGGCAGGCCAGCACTTCTGGAGAACGGACAGGAGCAGGAGGACGCCCGGGGACGAGCCATCCCGCCGAGGCGTGCTGGGACGGTATGCTTATTCTGGGCACCTCCACCAAAGGGGGCTCTGCAGGGGAATTTAGAAAGAGGTTATTAAAACGATGAAGTCCCTGAAAAATGCGGGGCACAGGGATGAGCTACACAGAGTGTAGTTATTTAGCCTGGAGGAGAGAAGCTGTGACCTACTCTAAGATTAGGGAGAAACTGATGCATTTAATCCGGTGCTGAAACAGAAGGCGTCTACTGGGCCGGCTTCCTCCAGAGGTCTTGCTCAGGCTCTGGCTTATCTGGCACGTTTCTTTAGTCAGAACGCGGCCCCAGGGCTGCTTGGAAGGACCTGGACTTCAGTCTTAAATATCTACATCTAAGCCAGTCGGCATGCCCACAGGCAGCAAGGTCAGAGCAAGTGACTCGCAGCAAGAGGGCCAGGGGTCCGCTCTAAGCAGCACCGTTGGCTATTCTCCCCTTCCACACCTCGGGGGTCCTGGTGCAGCACGGTGTGGGGGGCAGGGGACAGCCCCCGACCCAAGGCATATCCACATTCATCTCACCCAGGCCAGTAGCCACTGATTACTCTTTGTGCCCACTGCTGGGGAAACAAGCGCGCGAGAGCAGGGAACACCTCTGCACCCCACCAAGTCCAAGGGCGCGGAGGCGGGCGGGGAGGGAGGGACGAGACCCATGAAACACAACGTCTACTGTCAGGGAGATTTTAAGCTAAGTCAGGAAAACACAAAATGTGCAAAGCTGAACAGTACAAAAGATAAAGAGCGGTTCAGTCCACCGAAATGTCACAGTGATTAACTGTCAAATTAGTGACACAGAGAATCAGAGAACAGAAGACTCCCCCCAGATGGAAACTTGTTACTAAGAGATAAGTGGCCCAAGTCCTGAGAGAATTGCATTATTATCTGTTTTTTTCCCCCATGAAACTCATGAGGTAATGGTGCATTCCTAACACCTCATTAATCAGTCTTTCAACACTCAATAAATTTTGAGACGGCTTTTTCGTTCTCTGCTCTTCCCCTCTTCCCTCCCCCCCAGAAAGCAGCACAATCTCACATTTCATGTAGCCTCTTAATGGACACATGCTAAACGTAAATGCTGTTCTAGTTCCCAAAATGAGTGCTTTTTTTTTTTTTTAATCAAACTTTCCCTTTACCGTCTTAAATGAACAGTGTTGTGCTGACCTACAGTCGTCACGTGTTCTGTTTTTCTGGGATGCAAGGTGGTTTGTATACAATCAATTATAATTATATAAAGCCAGGATGAATTCAAGGTCAAGTCCTTGGTTGCTCATGCTGAGCCAAGAGAGAGAGAGAGAGAGAGAGAGAAAGAGAGAGAGAATTATTCCTGTGGGAAAACATGATCTACTCTACAGTATGATCTTTTAAGAATTATAATGTTGCAAAAGGCAAACACTGACTACAATAGCTCAGTAGCGAACCTACTTACAGCAAAGGTGAGCTTTGGAATTGAGATCCAGTCTGACATTTCGTATTATGCACTTGCATGAGTACCCAGCCCGGCCACTTACCCAGGGCTGTTGCCTTTGCTTCCTGGATCAGAAAGATCATAGGCTTCCAAGGCCACGGTCCCTAGTAGCCCCCTTCCCAGGAGCTAGTGAGGCACACATGTCTGTGAGGTAAATCAACTGGAAGTCAAGCAGAGCCTGGGGTAGGGTGGGCATAAAGCTTGCAATCTAAGGTCCCCTGGAGGATCTCTCTGAGTCTTGGGCCCCCCACTCCATCAACCCCCACCTCTACCAGTCTCCATGTGCCCCCATTGTCATGCTCACCACCAAGGCTATAGCAATAGCCTTGGTACCGTTGGGGCCCAGCCCATGGTGGTTGAGGTCCATGTAGGACTCCTCCATGTTCCGGAGAAAGTAGGAGACAGGCACTACGCGCATCAGTTTGCAGGCCTCCAGGTAGAGCTCCCTTTGTCCGGTGGTGAAAAATTTCTCCGTATCTACACAAAAAGATGCAAATGAATGAAGTGGGGATTCTCTTCTTCCTCTCTGCCTTATTCCCCTCTAACCCTGGGGCCAGGTGTGCTTCTGCCTGGTGTCCCCTCTGCCTGAGGATGTCCCTGTGGCTGTGTGCGCAGGAGGGCGGCTCCAATCTCAAAGGCAGCCGGAGGTGGGAGAAGGAGACCTGAACTTCAGAAAGCCCCAGATGGACGTGTCCCTTTGGGGAAGAGACAAGGCCCCTGGTTCTAAGCCCCAAGCTTTCCTAGGAGAAGAAGTGTGGCCCACGCCCACCTTTCCGGGTTGCCCGCATCCGGGACTGATTATCAAGGATGCACAAAGGCCCAGCTCCCTTGCCCACCGTGGGACAGCTCTGAAAGGCCAAACAGACAAGAAGCTCATTTGTGAAACGGGCAGCCTTCATTCAGTTTTCGTTTCACGACCACGGTTGAAATGAGAGCCACAAGGGAAGCTTTACTAAAGATTTCAAGAGGTTCCAACTTTAAAATCCCTAAGCAGGACTGAGAGGGCGTCTCAAGGTGACCAATCAGTGCAAGGTGGAGAGGACCCCCTCCCCACCCCAAATCAGCTGGAAACGAACAAACTTGTATTTGAGGGGGCTTTCCTCTTTCAGAGACTTGCATGTCATTTTTCCTCCCAAAAAGGACCGTCATGACTCCTTTACCAAGGACAAATCTAGCCCCGAATCACAAAGAGCTGATCAGAGCTAAAACCAGCTAGCAGAATATGGCGATTTATCTTTCCATTCCAACCATTTGAGGTCTTTGTTCTTGGGCTTTAGACCTGCCTGGCTTGTGGTCGACGGGCAGTGGGCCTCCCTGGGTTCCGTACGCCCTCGAAGCTGTCCCCTCATTAAGTGAGCCCCTTCGATGGCAAGGCTTCCCACGGCCCGCCGGGGTCTAAAGCCTGCATCTGTTTTTCCTTCGGATGCCAGGGCCTTTGTCCAACCCACCCCGGGCATTTCTGGGGCAGACAATGAGAGCTTTGTTGGTGAAAGGACAACCCTACAAGGAAGTTGACTTTGCAGGCACAGCTCCTAACTGGCCTTCTCCTTAGGACGGCTGGAGAGCAGAGTCTCTCAAACTCCGCACTACCGAGAGAATGGAGTCGGCTAATTCTCGGGTGCGAGGAGCTGTCGTGCGCCTTGAAGGATATTTAGCAGGATTCCTGGCCTCTGCCAGTGACCCTCCAGTAGCATCCTCCACCCTGCCCCGGCCCCGTTTGCCAGATGTCCCTTGGGGTACAAAATCGCGTCCGAGTGACAACCACTGCGGCATAGGACAAATGGCATGTGGCAGGTGACAACTTGTCCTGCTTTCTCTCCCTCCTCTGTGGCTTCATCGCCAGCTTGCCATTGCACCCGGGCTCGTGTCTCGGGCCTGCCCGGAAGCCCTCCCCGCCCTGTTCCTAGCACCTCAGTCCCCGAGGCAGGGACATGAGAAGCCAGAGCAGCTGGGCCTTGGGTTTCTGTCCCAGCACAGCACAGTTGCCACTGGAGATGTCTGTTTGCCACGGCAGGGTCGGTAAGCCCCGCCTTTGTCCTTGGCACTAATTCTGCTCTGTTTCGTTCTGCTGACCCTTTCTAGCTGTGGTCACTAGGGTGGGAGTTCATCCGATTTTTTAAAAAATTATTTATTTATTTTTAAAAAGATTTTATTTGTTTATTTGACAGACAGAGATCACAAGTAGGCAGAGAGACAGGCAGAGAGAGAGAGGAGGAAGCAGGTTCCCCTTTGAGCAGAGATCCCGATGCGGGGCTCGATTCCAGGACCCTGGGATCATGACCTGAACCGGAGGCAGAGGCTTTAACCCACTGAGCCACCCAGGAGCCCTTATCTGATTTTTCAAAAAGATTTTATTTATTTATTTGAGAGACAGAGTGAGAGAGAGCATGAGCTAGGGGAGCAGCCGAGAGAGAGGGAGAAGCAGACACCCCGCTGAATGGGGGGCCCGATTCAGGGCTCGATCCCAGGACCACGAGATCATGACCTGAGCCGGAGGCAGACGCTGAACAGACTGAGCCAGTCAGGCACCAACCAGCACTGTATTACGGAGGCAGCTTGCAACAGTGTTATCTCTTGTGGGGAGTTGGGGGGTGGGGGAGAAGAATGGAGTGAAAACAGGAAAATGGGAGAAAACGTCCAGTTTCTATCTGCCACCCCCGCCAGCCAGGTAAAGTACCACGTTGAAAACATCAGTACATTAGCGTACTGATGATGAAAATGCTAATCAGTACGTCTGGACATGGAAAGAAGTCGGAAAAAGAGCAACAAGACATGGGTGGGTTTGGGGTCAGGAAGGAGGCGTGCGTGGAGGGGAAGCTGTGTGTTGATCGTGGGTGGGGAGGTTTACGAACTCGCTGACCCGGAGGCCAGAGCACAGGAGAGGAAGGCCACTGGGCTAGCCTCAGGCTGGAAGTCCCAGGCTAGCTCATCAGTGGGGTGAGCGCGGAGCTCACCTTGCTACACAAGGGGTCTGGGCACTTCCCTGCTTGGGGAAACAGAGAGGGAGAGGGTAAAGGCATTTGCGATAACAGAGTCCTTGCTGCAGCTCAGAGAGCTCCCTCCTTCTCCGTCCGCCCCCCTCCTAGGCACACTCGCTCTGTCCAGGGCGAACTCTCAAGTAGGAGAACCGAGGCCTTGAATGTGAGTAGAGAGGAAAGCCACCAGGAGGCAAGGTGGGCCACAGACACTCCGGGGACCCCACAACATGGAGCAGGAAAGCAGATCAGCAGGGTGGGGCGGACAGGGGATCTGCGAATGGTAGCAGCTCTCTGTGGCCTTGGGCAACTCACACAATCTCCGTAAGCCTCAGTTTCCTCCTCCTTAAAAGGCGGGTAATAAGACTACCTCCTGGGACGCTAGCCAAGATGACAGAAGATGCCACATGCGGAAACCTTGAGAAAGCCAGAAATCCCCATTCATGTATGGGTTTGGCTTCCAACCAGCTGATGTGACCGCTCTGCTCCCCGGGGAGGCCACGAGCACAGGGCAGCTACAGCTACGGCACCGGGCCGGCCTCGAGGAGGACCCCAGGTTGCTGCCCCGTTCCTTGTGCAGGACAGCCCGCCGGCCAGAGCCATGGCCCACCCCGGAGAGCAGAGCCTCCAGCTCCTGCGGAAGGGGTCGCATCACCACCCCACGCACCCAGGGCCCGCTCTCACCTTCGATCTCCAGGTCTGTTTCTGAGCTCTCCCGGGCGGCCTTGTCTTTATCCACACCCACGGACGCCTCGGCCTCACAGTAAAGGGTTTCATCGCTGTTCTGTGGCGCTGGGTCTGTTTCGGGTTCATCTGGAAGAAAAACTCATCTCCTGATGCTGGGAATGAAAGCTGTGGGCCTTTCACGTGGAGCCCGACCTGGCTCCTTTGCTCTGTCAGCCGGTCCTGGCCACAGCCTCTGACGCCCCAGCCTCACCGGGCTCGGGGTGCCGTGGAACTGCAGTGTGCCTTCAGTCCCGCCAGGGGGCTCCGTTCTACGGGCCGCCCCTCCCGGACCCAGTGCTGCCCCCTGATGGCCCGCAGGGTCTTGTGTTGAACACCCGCCCCGCTCCTGCCCGGTTCCCTGCTTTGGGCCCATCTCGGAGACTGGCTCCTTGCTCATTCTTTTCCTTCTCATTGGGTTGGGTGGGGTTCAGGGTCTGCTTCACTCTTCCCGGGAGAGGATGTGTGCCGATGCCTAGGCTTCCTCATTGGCGGGCACAAGCCATGCTGAAGGCCCGGGGCGGGGCAGGGTAGAGCAGGTGACTTGGGTCAAATGTCAAATGAGGGGGTACAGGAACAGTCCCAAGGAGAAAGAAGGATAACTTGATTCCTAAAAACTTGACCTAGCTTCTCTCCCTTCCAATCCAGCATTTTAGGACCACGAAGAAGGAAGGACTTGCAAAATCTTGCTGGGGTTGAAATTAATTACTGAGTACGTATCTATGCCCTTTGCTTTCCTCCCACCAGTCCCTACACTCGCTGGACATGGGTTTTCTGCCAGTGGACCACTGATCTGGGATCAGCATGGGTTCCTGAAAACCTCACACAAGGGTCCAGAGCTAGTCATCCCACCTCTGTGGGATGCAATGTTTGGGGAGCCATGCTCTGCCACCAGGAGCCCATCAGAACTTGGCCAATATACTCTTTGGGTGGGCTGAGCATTTGTGGTGGTGGCCCCAAGTTTTAACCCCCTAGGTTCTAAGATAGTGGGTTCCTAATGAATCCATGCAGGTCTGTGTTTTCTTAGTCCTTATCCATAAACCCAAGCTCCAGTGTTTATTTCCAAGAGGGTAAGACAAGGTCTACATGATAAGGGCTGGACGGAGCCATAGCCCAGCAGTTGGAAGACATACAGCGGCTTAGCCATCAAACTCAGCCATCGAAAAGTGATGACTTTCTGAGTCTTAATATCCTCATTAGTCCTACAATTTGAGAATTCCATCCAATGCGTAGAATGCTCGTAGATGTTTAACTGGCTCTCAAGGCAGGGCAGGGGTGCGGAATCCTGATTTATAGTATGAGCCAATTTGGGTGGTGTAAATATTCCCAACATGGCTGAGTACCTCCACTACAGATCGTATTTGTATTCTACCCATTCTTTCACAGAATGAAAAAGAAAATCAGCCAGAGCTAGGACAAGCCAATTCCAGCAGATCATTACATCCAACTCTCTCACTCCCTGTTTGAGAAGCCCTGAAGCCAAGTCACTGTGATACTCCATCCCGCTTCTAGAGGAGAGGTCCCACATGAGGAGGGGAGGGGGCTTCGGGGTCCATGTGATCCCTGGGTATTACACTGAGACAGCCCAGAAGGGCCTGAGAGATGAGAGATAGGATGCCTGTTCACCTTGTGTCTCAGGCTCAAGAGGCTCATCATTGTCCATGGTTCCAGGGCCCTCCTGGTGGCTGCTGTCAGCTTCTCCCCACCTCTCTGCTGCTCCCCTAAGAAGCACACCTGTCCATTCACTTCTGTCTCAAAGTCTGTGCACCCTGCCCTTCGCACAGATAAATCCCAGGGGGGCCTGGAGTTATCTTTCCATCCCAGCAAGCCCTGGGGACAATGGGCTGTGGTGGGAACAGGACAGGCATGGAGTGGACCCCAACTCTGTCTGGGAGAAGTCGCTGCTTCCCCGGAACATCAGGGAAAGTGGTACAGCCCGATTCCTGGGAGCCCCGTCGAAAGGACGCCCATCCGCCTGCGACTTTGTGACTCAGGAGCCGCTTTCATCTCACCTCTTCAACATTCCATGACCTCATGCAGTCATTGTGATCCACGCGGGTGGACCTGGCAACAGCAGCCAGCCTCCCACCCTCTTGGTGGCTCTGGCAGGCCCTCTTTTCTCATATGTCGGTGGGGGCCGAGCCCAGGCTTGGCTGTGAGTGTGCTGGTGCTGTGGGCGGGCCTCTCCGTGGTGGTGCATTTCCCTCCAGGGCAGGAGCAAGCCCAAGGCCCTTAGTCAGGTGACTGTGAAGAGCGGCCACCATGTTCTTCTCTCAAGGTGGTTGTGCTTCAGGTACGAAATATTTCAATGATGGGTGAAGTCCGTTTTCTTCCACCCAGTTCTCTTTCCTTTTTTCTTTCCCCCTCGGGAGAGTGTCCTCAACCTTGGAGCAGAAGATCAAAAGCAAAGCCTGGGAAACATATGTTCTATCACCACAATTTATTGCAGCTAAAGCACTGTTCAATCCAAATTACCGGGTTGCCTAACTTGAAACCACTCAACCATCACTCACATGCTGGGCTGTTTTCACATGCCTTGGAGTTGAAGTTCACTTGCAGTTTACTCTCAAGAGAATCTGGAGGCGTGTTTGTTCCTTCTTGATAAGCTTTCAGCACATCAACGGTCAGGTCAGTGACTGGAGGGCTGGGGGATGTTGGAAATCCCTCTTTGCCACTCGGAAGAATGACGAAAATCTAGGAATTTGTTTAGAGAAACCGTAGTTAGAATCTTGGACCAAAAGAAACATGTATATCTGAGATGTTACTCATTCCTTCAGGGATTCATTCTGTAAGATTTAGGGAGCATCTATTATGTACGAGACACTGACGTAGGCAACCACTGTGGGGAGGGGGTACAGACATCATTATGGACTGGACCTTTCAGGGTAAGTATCATACAAGACAGAAATTGACACAGCTACCCCTAGGGTGTAAGGGTCATGCACAAACATTTTTGGCAGAGCTGCCGTTCATAAAACAAATCTGGGTCACCCTAAATCAGCATGGCAACACCATTCTCCCGTGGTTCAATATCATGTGTTTCCTTGAAAGAAACACCAAGCAGACCAGGGGGAGTGCTTGGCTTCTAGGATGAATTGGTAAGCATGTGTCCTGGAGACTCTTCGGGCATCTGGTATACTCCCATGCTGGTGCAGAGGATACGGAAGTATCCTTAAAGGAGAAAAAAGGGGACTGGAAAGTATGTTGGTCCTGGTCTAAACTCTAGGTGCTCTGTCTGGACAGCACCACGTGGTCTCACGCACAAAGAGAGACTTAGAAAATTTGGAGGACAACACCCTAAATAGCCACTGGGCAGAGGTACCAGGCAGTTACTAGAAATTGATTACGGTCATGAGGGAGACTGAGTTCAAGGGAAGGTGAGGTTTCTTCAGGCTGGGGAGCATTTGTGGGCTCTGGGCAAGTAGCATCCTGGCCAGAGGCATTTCCAGGAATGCGGAATAAAGGAAGCAGCAGAGTCCCAGGTGAGTTTGGGGGAGTATAGGGTGCAGGGAGTAGCAGGGAAAAGGGAGGCAACAAATACCAGAGCAATTTCAGGGATAGATTCAATGCAGTGGAAAGTCAATGGGAAGCCACTGAAGATTTTTGAACAGGAGCGTGATTTAATCAGAGCTTCTTTTTATGATGGTGGACAGCAATTATTTATTCGGGGGAAAGAGTATTCTGGAGAAATAAAAATGTTCAAGAACCATAATTTTAAAGTTTTCTTTCTTTTTAATATCATAAAATCTATCTGCAACTTCTTTTTATATGTTATTTTAAAAGTTTATTACTGAGGGGTATCCTTTTTATTTTTTAAAAGATTTTACTTATTTATTTGAGAGCAAGAGAGAGAGCACGAGTTGGGGGTTGGAGAGAGGAAGAAGTGGGCTCCTTGAGGGGCTCCATCCCAGGATCCTGAGATCATGACCTGAGTTGAAGGCAGACACTAAATGGACTGAGCCACCCAGGTGCCCCAGAGTATCCTTTTTTTTTTTTTTTAAGATTTTATTTATTTATTTGACAGAGATCACAAGTAGGCAAAGAGGCAGGCAGAGAGAGAGGAGGAAGCAGGCTCCCCGCTGAGCAGAGAGCCTGATGCAGGGCTGGATCCCAGGACCCTGGGATCACGACCTGAGCCGAAGGCAGAGGCTTTAACCCACTGAGCCACTCAGGCGCCCCATAGAATATCCTTTTTTTAAATTAAAGTTTTAATTCTGAAATATTTAAGGGGCGCCTGGGCGGCTCAGTGGGTTAAGCCTCTGCCTTTGGCTCAGGTTGTGATCCCAGGATCCTGGGATCAAGCCCTGCATCAGGCTCTCTGCTCAGCGGGCAGCCGGCTTCCTCCTCTCTCTCTGCCTGCCTCTCTGCCTACTCGTGATCTCTCTGTCTGTCAAATAAATAAATAAAATCTTTAAAAAAAGAGAAATATTTAAGACTGTATCAGAGTCACAAAAATAATAAGGTTCCGGTTTACTCTATGCAGCTTCCCTTTGTCTTTACATCCTGCATAGCAAAATTTTATCAAAAGTAAGAAATTAACATTGGTGCAATGTTATTAACTCCACTACAGATCACATTTATATTTTACCCATTCTTTCACTAATGCCCGTTCTTTGTCCTGGGATCCAATTCAGGACCCTACTTTGTGTTACCATGTCTTTCTCTATCTCTCCCAAGATATGACCTTTCTTCAGTCTCTGTCTTTTATGACCTTGACACTTCTAAAGAGTCCTGCTCAGATGTTTTGTGGAATGTCCCTCAGTTTGGGTTTGTCTGGTGTTTTGTCATGATTACTGGGAAAGATGCCAGAGCGGATATGCCCTTCTCAGCACATATCAGGGACACATGATGTCAACATGTATTACGTTGTTGTCTTGGTCAAGGTGGTATCTGACAGATTTACCTACTATAAAGTTACTGTTTTCCCCTTTGTAATTATTACATATTTTGGAGATGTTTTATGCAAATATCCTATTTCTGCTTAAACTTTTTGTCCAATACCTTATTTATTCTGCCCAATAATTATAGCATGATCTTACATCTTATACCGTGATCTTACTGAGGTCTTGCCTCAACCCTTATTACTGTCATGTTTCAATGGTGATTTTCTGTTTCCCACAGTCCTTCTATGTTTCCTGATTGGAATTCTTTTGTGGAAGAGGGTGGTCCCTCTCCCCTATTTGTTTGTTTATTCAGTTGTTTATCTTCACAGGGATCCTGGAGGCTTATTTTATTCAATACAGTGCTACCATTATTTTGCTATTCAAGTTCCAGCTTTGGTTATGGGAGCTCATTCAGATTCACCGCTGTGCCCTATTGACGTGTGCCCCGCCTTTTATTTTTATTTGTTTGATCCCTTTCTTCCCTTCTGGCGCCACAGGCATCAAACACTTTCCCAAGGAGAGTGAAAGCCTAGGTCTGAGTGCTGGCCTGCCCATCACTGTTGGGTTGGCACTGCTTCTAGTCCTTCCCAGTGGATAGAGCTAGGAAATACACCTCTGTCTGTCTGCATATACACTAAGCCACACATAACACACATCTGTATTTATTTCCATACCCGTCTATATGTATATATATTAAACAAAGCCATGAATACACCAATACCCCCTGATTCCGATTCAGCACCACCACCTGTCTTCCCCCTTTACATATTTGTCATTTCTTTCTCCTCAAGAAAACCTGCTCCCATTTTCTACAATGTATTTACCTCTTTGCTCATCTCTAGTATACATATAAAGTAATTCCACAAATTTACCAACTAGAACACAATGTTTGTAATTATATAGTGTGTGTGTGTGTGTGTGTGTGTGTGTGTGTGTGTGTGTGTGTCCTTATGTATCCAGTTAAAACACTCCGCACCCCTCCCCCTCCCCAGGCAAATTATCTAGGTCCGCTCTTCCTAGCCTCTTCAGTGTGGTTATTTGATTCATTTGTAACATAGGTTCACTGGTAACTGCCTGCATTTCATCCCCCCACCCCCAAATCCTGGTTGATTTTATTTAATTTACATACAGCAACATTCACTTTGTACAGCACAGTTTTGTAGGTCTCGACAAATGCAGAGAGTCATGTATTTACTACCATGGTTCCACTCCAAACAGTTCCGTCACCTGAAAATTTCTCTCATGCTGTCCCTTTATGATTAACCCCTTCCCAGCCTAAGCCAATGTTAGAAATCACTGTTCCATCCTTATAGGTTCACGTTCTCCAGAGTCATATAAATGAAATCATACAAGATGTAGGTTTTGGTGGGAGGTGTCTGGCTCCTTTCACTTAGTAAAATGCATTTAAGATTTATCCATGTTATTGCCTGAAGCAGTAGTTTGTTCCTTCATATTTCAGAGTAATATTCTATTGTAGGATGTATCACACACTATCCACTTACCTGCTAGATCTTCATAGTTTCCCTTTCTGGTGATTATGCATAAAGCTGCTATAAACAATCGGGTTTATACGGTTTCTGTGTGAACAGAGATTTCTCTTGAGTAGATACTAGAAGTGGGATTGCTGCCTGTATGTAGCACGTACATGTTTTGCCTTGTGAGAAACCGCCATGTTGTTACCTAAATTGCAAAGGAGCTTCGCTAATTTGAATTCCCCCTAGGAATATACGGTAGCATCAGCTGTTCTACATTCTTGCCAACTCTTGATGTCGTGGTATTTCCTGGTGGTTCTAATCTGCATTTCCCTAGTGACTAGTAATGTTGAGCATCCTTTCATGTGCTTTTTGGTCATTCATATATCTTTCTTACTGTTCAGATGTTTTGCCTATTTTAAGCTGGATGGTTTAAATTCTTACGGAGTTTTGAGAGTTCTTGATATATTCTGAGCAGAAACCCTTTGTCAGAAATGTGGTTTGCAAATATTTTCTCCCAGTCTATGGTTTAGCTTCCTATTCTTTTTTTTTAAGATTTTATTATTTATTCATTTATTTGACAAAGAGAAAGAGAGAGAGAGTGAGTGAGTGAGCGTACAAGCATGGGGAGCAGGAGAGGGAGAAGAAGGCTTCCTGCTGAGCAGGGGGCCAATGTGGTGGGGCTCAATCCCAGGACTCAGACACCATGACCTGAGCTGAAGGCAGATGCTTATCCGACTGAACCACCCAGGCGCTCCCAGCTTTTTAGTCTTATCGTGTCTTTCAGAGTATGCATTTCAATTTTTATAAAGTTGAATAATTTTGATAATTTTTCAAAATTCATTATTTTTAAAAATTTATTCATTTGAGACAGAGAGAGAGACACACAGAGACAGCATGAGCAGGGGAGAGAGGCAGAGGGAGAGAAGCAGACTCCCTGCTGAGCCAGGAACCCAACAAAGGGCTCAATCCCAGGACCCGGAGATCATGACCTGAGCCAAAGGCAGATGCTTAAGCATCTGAGCCACCCAGGTGCCCCTCAAAATTCATAAATGAAAATTTTTCAAAATTGATCAAAATTACCATTTTTTCCTCTTACAGATCATGTTTTTGGTATCATATCTAAACGTTCCGCCTAACCCAAGGTCGTGTTGATTTTTTCCTATATTTTATCCTAGAAGTTTTATGATTTTAGCTTTTACATTTAGGTCTACAATCCATTAATTTTTTTTTTGTGGTAAAATATGCCAACAAAGAATTTATATTTTAACCCTTTTAAAATGTGCAAGTCTGTGGCATTAAGTACATTAACAATGTTGCATAACTGTCGCCACCATCT